TTCAAAGAATTGATGCATTTTCACTATATAATCAATACAGCCCACCCCCACCCAACACCAGAACCCCTGACCCTGGGGCATCAATTTCTAAATTTTAGAATAGGCACTTTTGCCTATTCTAACTTTGTACTTCCTTAGTTTATTTAATACCTAGGAACAAAGAAGAAGTCTTTCAAAGAATTAATTTTTTAAAATATATAATCAATAGAGCCCCGCCCCAACACCAGAACCCCCTACCCTGGGGCCATAAAATTCACAATTTTGTAAGAAGTACTCTTGCCCATCATAACTATGTACTTAGTTAGTTTATTTAATGCCCAGGAGCAGAGAAGAAGACTTTCAAAAGATTTCATGTATTTTCACTATATAATCACTAGAGCCCCACCCTAACACCAGAACCCCCTTCCCTGGGGCCATAAAATTCACAACTTTGTAAGAGACACTCTTGCCCATCATAAATATGTATTTAGTTAGTTTATTTAATGCCCAGGGTCCACCGCCATAACCCATTCTTAAGTCTGATAATGTTCTCAAGTCTGAGAATTTTCTCAAATCCTAAATTCTCAGACTCAGCCGCCGCCATAAACTTTTGAGTAATAAAAAAATTCTCAATTTCAGTTTTATTCTCAAATATTTGAGTAAACAAAAATGGTTACTTAAGAATATTCTCAACCATCCAAAATGGCTGCTGTGCATAGAAGAAGAAATCTCAGACGAAGTGTTTTACCACGTCCAAGAGTGTTTAGGGACAGGAACAACCCATTGGAGACGCTGGAGGAGGAAGAGATTTTTCAGCGATATCAATTCCGACCCGCTACGATTAAATACATGACGAACTAAAAACTGACACTAACAGGAACAGTTCAATTTCCCCTCTCTTCCAAGTTTTGCTGTTCCTACGTTTCGTGGCGACAGGGGCTCATCTGCGTCTGGTAGGGCAGTCTCGGGATTTCAGAATCATCCGTGGGCAGATCTGTCAAAGCAGTTGCCTCAGCTATAGTTGCTGTTTTCGCCAGACTTTACATTTGTTTTCCTGTCGGAGAAATGGCAACAAAAGTTATAGAAGGTTTCCGGAGAATAGCTGGTACGTAAATGACATGTAAAACCTCAGTAGCAGTTTCCTCAATTCAAACGTTAGCGCCACATGCATTTTAATGTTTATCACTTACTATACTAATAAAATCCCGTTTCCTGATGTCAAGTTTCCGTGCAACTTCTTAAAACTCATATGCTTTATCCCCGAAACTGTAAAGTTAAACAGAAACACACAAACGTACCGCTCATTTTACTTCTTTTCTTCATTATAAGAGTTCCAATATAAGGGGGAATACTGCATGAGAAAGACGCGCGGATCCATTGGCATGTGTTCTCCCCGAATACTACAATACGAATACGCACAGTAGATCATTTTCTTTTTTTCTTATAAATAGCATATCATAAACATGTCTCGATTTTATTTCTTGAAAGAATAAAATAGATATCTAAGCTAAATAAGCAACATTTAATAAGTCATCCTAATTATCATTATTCAATTATCAGAGGTGTAAGGAAATGAGGAAGACATCAAAAGTTGATGTCTAAATTTTAAAAAAGTTTAAATAATATATGAGATTTGAAAAAAATAGAGGAAAAACAAATAAAACAAAAAGCTTTTGTTGAAGAAAAGGGGGATTTAATCATTTTAATTTTTCTTATTGGAGGGGGAGGCACTGGCATTACAATAGCTGTTTTCTACAGAATTCTACATGTACTGATCGGCATAATTGCCCCCCTCCCCTATCCTGGTTCCCAGGCACGTAGCATCGTTTTTGAAAGTGGGGGGAGGGCAGCCAGAGAAAATTTTTGTTTTAATTACTTACCTGGGAAAGTTAACAAGCAATAAAAAAAAAGGTAATTGCCCAAACTCGAAAATCCTATTTAGTTACGGGGGTGGGTGGGTTAGAGGCAAACTTTTTCACATGCAGCCTTCTTTCAGTACCAATTTCTTTGCATAAAATACTACATTTCCCTTATATCTCTTTGCCATATTCAAAACTGAGGGGGGGGGAGCAACCTGCCTTTCAATAATCATTTTCAATAGTAAGGGAAAAAAGGGGGCAGCTACGTGCCTGGTTCCTACGGTTATGTAATTTATATTTTTGTAATAATTGAAAAAACATTACACTGCAATATATGTACAGTGCATATGTTGGACTATGACTTTATCTTTACAGGTTTTGCAAATGTGTTTGGATGCTTAGATTGTACACAAATCAGAATAAGTACGCCACATGAGAATGAAGCCGACTATGTGAACAGGAAAGGTTTCCACAGTTTGAACATACAGGTAAAAGAACAAGTTTTATTTATTTACTTATGATGAAAAGTATTTTCAATAAAATTTTTACAATAATTAGTTAATCTACATAGTTTGAACGTTCAGGTACTACGTGTGCATTTCACAAAATTAAATAAATATTTTTAAATCTCTTTCAATTTCCCTCCTAATATTTTTTAAAAAAATAAATAAAAGCCTGAATAGATATTTTTATGGAATAATAACGGGTAGTAATGTTATGTTTATTTCAGATGGTATGTGATCCGAATTTCCGAATCGAATCGCTCTCTGCCCGATGGCCTGGGTCTTGTCATGATGCCAGAATTTGGAGGACATCTGCTTTATACCAAAAATTTGAAAATGGGGTCGGTATTAGTAACTTCTTGCAGTACTACCTTCATATTCACTATATTAATACTGTTGTGTACTCATTATGTGAATTTCTAATTCAACATTGGTCGGCCATTGTGGCCCCGCCCTATCCCTGGGGGTCATGATTTGAACAAACTTAAATCTACACTACCTGAGGATGTTTCCCCAGTAGTTTCATCTTTCCTGGCACAGTGGTTCTTGAGAAGAAGATTTTTAAAATATACCACCAAATTTTCATTAATTCCCAATTACCTCCCCTTGAATGAGGGCGTGGCCCTTCATTTGAACAAACTTGAATCCCCCTCACCCAAGGATGCTTTGTGGCAAGTTTGGTTGAAATTGGCCCAGCGGTTCTTAAGAAGAAGTTGAAAATGTGAAAAGTTTACAGACACAGACAGATAGACGGACGCCGGACAAAATGTGATCAGAAAAGCTCACTTGAGCCTTCGGCATTTGTCGTTATGAAAAATTACAAAATTAAAATTTTCAAATTCATTATAATTGTCATGTACTCATTATGTGAATTTCTAATTCAATACATGTAATTAGTAAACGACAATACTACATGCAATATGCATACAAAACCTGCTTTTGCACAGGCCAACTACTAGCAAGTTATATGAATTATAACTACAATCACATTTCATTTTTAATGCAGGTGATGTTAACGGTATTCTACTAGGAGACTCTGGGTATCCACTCACAAAATATTTATTAACTCCCTATTTGACGCCTCGTGACCCATCTGAAGAGAGATCCAACTCAAGTCTTTGCAGAACACGGGTTGTGATTGAACAAACTTTTGGAATTCTAAAGAGAAAATTCCAGGCATTGCATTTCGGTCTTCGGACAATACCTGACCAGGCAGTCACATACGTTACAGCATGTTGTATACTTCAGAACATTGGTGTGGAGAGAAAGGACACCATGATCAGCAGTGACAGCAAAGACTTGAATATTGCGGAGCCCCACGTAGTCGCTACGAGGTCGACAATGGTTTTCGAGGGGTGAAAATTTTCAATGTTACACTCAACATGCTCAACTACATGCAATATTTATTATATTATACTGAATGTTTTATACAAAAACATGTTACAGTGAACCGGGCGCGCATAAATTCCGCGCAATCGCTATTTTTTGTAATACCACCCGTCGTCAAGCAATGTTGACTGTTGCTACGCAGGAGGGCGTGGCTTCATTATTCAGCGGGTAGTAGTGTTTTTTATCAAATGTTTCTCGACGAATCAGATTCAAGTAATTTACATGAAAGTTATATTAACAAATATTTGTCACAGTTTTCTCAGCAGCTACTCATCACCGATGCTTGAAATTTTAGCACATTCTTTGCCGAGGTATGCCATATGGTATATTCATTTCTTTCAAAATCTGTTGACAACTTCCTGTTTATCCGTGCATCTGCCCATAACTGAACTTGTGTACATTAACATGATAGTGTATCTTCACATCAGAGCGGGGTTATCACTTGTGAGCATTGGCTCACATACTTGTTAATTTTTTCTACATTTCTGATAAGAGGCCCATGAGTGCAGTTATATATTATCAAGAAAAAAAAGGAATAAAGAACGCTTTTCAAGTTTGATTATTTTAGAGTTTAATATTTTTTGTTAAATATGTAGTATGAAAATTTCTCTCTCGTGCACATTGCACATATTAATATATCTATTAACATTCTGGCAATGTTGTTAATTGTTCCACAAGACAGGGGAAGGATCCTTGAAAAGCCAGTTTTTGTTTCTTTAAAGTCAGAACCTCCTTCTTTAAAGTTAGAATTTCCCTCTCCTCTCTAATCCTTTCTAGCTCCTCCTCTAGTCTTTTGTTGTCAAGGTCAAAGTTCCTCTTTTGTAGTTCATCTAAGAATTTCCTCGATTCCTTCACTGTAAAATTTTAAACGAATTAATGTGTGTGTATAACAGAAGAAAATGTTATGTTTCTGTGTTCATGTATATTATTTCATCATTTGACTGTGTCTGCATGCAGACTGTCTGAATTATTAACAGTAATTGTGGGTTGATTACAATTAAATAAGTTCTAGCATATTTAATAGAGATTATTGTAGTGAAAGATTTATTAATCTGATAAACAACAACAAAATTTAAATTAATTTGAAATTGTTAATAAATTCATTCAAAGTTTACAAACCTTTGTTGGTTACTTTCTTTTTTCCTTTTGGTTGCTCTGCAAATTAAATGCAAAAAAAATACGGGTAAGTAATACATATATACCAACATAAACATAAGAGGCCCTGGAGCCACCTTTACCACGATGCTCACCTGAATCAAACTGGATTTGCTATTTTTTTTAGATGTAAAAATGTATGTATATGCATCACTAATAATTTTTATGTATGGTATTTACTGGATAAAAAAAAAATCTGTGAAAACTGATGCCAGGGGACAAGTATGAAATCATACCCCCTTTGATGATTTTGCTGGTTTAAATAATATGCACTTAATTTGAATACTGGTAGTTAAATTATTGGAACAACCACTACTTTTTAATGTGAACATGAATTTCCATTTTTGCTCAATTTAATATTTACTATAATTATAAGCGAGGGATCGTGTCAAAACCGGAAGTACTATTGATAAAGCACCTACCCGTGGAGAAAGCATAAATTTATCTAATGGGCTATATTCCCAACACATATGAGATAAATCACTAAATGTATTTGTACAAAACATTCAGTATAATATAATATTTACATTTCCAATGTCTTTGTCCGAGATAAAATTATGAATTGCAAACACAGGTACTTGTGGACACCCCCCCCCCCACATATATACACCATTGGTCAAAATATTTTTCTTCTTTTTTGTCATGAATTATGTTTCTAGTACTTATTTACAACGTATTCCATATACGAAATCCAGAAAATAACAGATTTAATGATTTACTAAAAAAGTCATACCCTGGTATTATAAAATAGAGAAGGTAAGTCACTTCGGTTTGTTAATTCGGACCCCTCTTGAATATCGGGCCTAAAATATCATATACCTACTATATGTCACCAAAATGTGTCATGATATCTTGTTTCGGTAGATATTTTTGTCATTTATCGTGCCATTTAATTGCCCAGACTTTCCCAAGTTATCCGAGTATTCAGCGTCAACGTGAAAAATTTGGATATGCCAAACCAAAAATTTCGGAAGTGATCCAAAAACGACACCTAGCGGGTAACTTTCGAGTTCCGAGTGTCATAAAATAAAGGGAAAAGTCAGAGGACTACGAAAAAGTTCGGGAAAATTTTGATAAAAGAAGTCGAAATCGATTCATTAGAATTTAAATTTTGCTGCAGGATTTCGAGATGAATTAGGATACAAGCATCAATATTATTTTTAGAGGATTTATCACTGATACCATATAGTGTTTTAAAAATCGCATAGAGACATTAAAAGATATGTAACTCCCACCCCCACTCTACAATAATTCCAATATCATTAATTTAATAATCTTAAACAATGTTTCTCATTTGCCAAAGAATTTCAGGATATATGAGCCATTTCTTAAAAATACATGAAAATCGGAACTTTTCATTATGACATTCTCTCGTTTATTGTCCTAACTACAGCCTCGGAGTTTGTTTCTGGTCTTGACTGTGTATATCTAGCTACTTTGTTAAAGAAGCTTAACTTCTTTTTATTTATCTAACATGGCCGTAGGAATAATATTAGTATATTATATAATATACCGTAGAAAACATAGGAACTACATTGTATATGCTCGTGCCCCCTCAATAAAAACCAGTGACATTTTTTTTTTGCTTGTTGAGGAATTTTTAGTTGATAGCATAGTGCCCTAACTTAAATGTTTGGCTGTTCCGCATCCCCCAGTCTGAAATTGCTTCCTACGAGCCTGTCTAGGTATAAAGAACTATATGCGGTATTAACCAACATTTGCCCCCCAAAATCAAACTTTGATGGAGTAATATTTAATTAAGTCCTTAAAAACTGACTTCAAAGGAAAGCACTGTAATTTCATAAGTACATAATTTTTTTTTTTATGAATTTTGCAGAAAAATGTACATATTTCATCGATATTTTAAATAAAAGTCAGTGCCCATGTGTGTTCAGGATAAATATTTTGATATAATGTGTAGAATGATAATATCAATGAAATATGTCAATATTGTTACTGAACACACATGCGCTCTATAAATTTTAAAGCTTAAATTGTTGAAATTTTGTCCATTTTGTCCTCTTTCTGAAAAAGGATATAAAATCGGACTAGTTTGTGACGTCATAAAAACAGAAATTGTGAATACACTGCTCTGGAACTATAATATTTTCTGTTAACTTATATTTCTCGTACAATTTATTGAATTCAGCACATTTCAGGAAGTTTTCAAAATTTGACTTTTGTGGGGGCAAACATATGCAATATACCGCATATAGTTCTTTAGAGACTTTTATAAACTTCTTTCGGTACGTCTTACCTAACAGCCATCGTTTAATAATATTGTCAAGTTGTAGCACTAGATTTTGACGACTGAATATTGGATGGGATATGTATTTGTACAACCATTCATAAAAACTTGCATTTTTTTTCTCTCAAAACGCCTTCCTCTACATTTGTAGTTTAATCAAAACAATTCTAACCTGTAATGACGTTCACACACTCCTTCCCATATATTGAATAATATAGCGAGTTCAGAACTCACAGCAAATGGAATAATGATTTCTGTACTGTTTTGAATAAGCACATTTCTGGTTGAATTTATTTTTTAAACTATCGCATTAACAGAAATCCACCTTTACGCAGACACAGTCACTAGAAAAACAAATAACATAAACATACATGTATCCACGTAGAAAGGGGGGGGGGTTACATGTCATTTAATGTCTCTATGCGATTTTTAAAACACTATATTGTATCAGTGATAAATCTTCTAAAAATAAAATTTAAATTCTAATGAAACGATTTCGACTTTTTTAATCAAAATTTTCCCGAACTGTTTCGTAGTCCTCTGACTTTTCCCTTTATTCTATGACACTCGGAACTCGAAAGTTATCCGCTAGGTGTCGTTTTTGGATCACTTCCGTAATTTCTGGTTTGATATTTCCAAATTTTCACGTTTGACGCTGAATACTCGGATAATTGGGGAATGTCTGGGCAATTAAATGGCACGATTAAAGACAAAAATATCTACCGAAACAAGATATCAAGACACATTTTGGTGACATGTAGTAGGTATATGATATTTTAGGCCCGATATTCAAAAGGGGTCCGATGTAAACAACCGGTGACCTACCTTCTCTATTTTATAATACCAGGGTATGACTTTTTTAGTAAATCGTTAAATCTATGTTATTTTCTGGATTTTTCATATGATATACGTTGTAAATAAGTACTAGAAACATATTTCATGACAAAAAAAGAAAAAAAAATGACCGGGGTGTATATGTGGCCTTCAGCGTTTATGCAAATTATCACGCAAGCCAATCGATTGATCACATCATGAAATCGAAAAATAAGACAGTTATTCCTTAAATAATTATTGCATGTAGTTGAATGTAACATTGAAAATTTTCACCTGTGCCCCGGTTGACAATGGTTTCCTTGGGGTGGAAATTTTCAATGTTATGTTCTAATTCGTTTCACTCAAACGAACATAAATTATTTACAATCAAAACAAGAACACTTGTCTACATAGGAAATGGAAGCGCTTGCTTGCCAATATTTATTAGACGTATACATTTACAAAAAACAAGTCTTCAATGGTACCGATTCTCTACCTTCCTTCTACAATATATCAAAAATATAATTAATCACACATAACAGTACAAAATGCATTTTAACACAATGCTTTTATATGTCCTCACTTCGCTGATTAAAAACTAATATAATGCATGTATGAACACAATTATGCTTCCCTCGCCGCCCAGGAAAAACCATAGATAAAAAACAACATCGATTTATGTTGAAAAAACTATGGAAACCTGTAAGTCCGCAGCAATTGCGAGGTAAACAAAATGAATGGCGGACTCATTCTC